ATACATGGATATATTTTGATTCTGCAGTTTTTCATTTGTATCAAAATAATGTTTTACTGCTACTGTTACACAGCACTTTCTCATCTGTTCTCAACACATTTCCGAAAGCATTGTTTCTGTAAAGAAATTTAGTTGGTGCTCCGGGCTTGGTGTCTGAGAAGCGCCTACAGCCTGAGCAGTGTGTAGTCAGCAGTGGTGCCTCCCCGAGACTCTCTTTGAACGTCTTCACCTTAAAGCAAGGGCCATCCTGACTTAAGCTCCCCTGAGATGGCCAAGCAGCCAAACTACAACCTGGGGAAAATTGAGAACAAAGCAGAGCCCACCGTAGCCATGCTTCCCAATTACCTGCAAGCTTTCAAGAAGGCCCTGGTCCTGGTCGTACAGGTAGAAGAGCAGGCCAGCAAAGAAACCAGCAGCAAGAAATAGTCCCAGTGATGACTCTAAATAAATTGGAAAATAATGGAAGTTTCCCACAAAAAGAAAACTTTAGTTTTAAAAGTTTAGCTGATTCAACCATGGCTGTAAGAGGAGATCCAAGGCTGACATGTAAATTTCTTAGTTCCCCATCCATTTTTCTTTATATTACAGGGCCTCTTTGGGAATGCACGTGGGTTGTGTCTAAAGTATCTCTCTGAGTTAAACATTTATTTAAAATAGGTATTTTATTGAATACTTGTGGAAATGTGTTTATAACAATGTTGTGGAACAGACCATTTAAGTGGTAAGATAAACTAAAATACACTGAAGAATTCAGTGTCAAATAAGTTTTTGTTTTCTTATACACTGGCAATATACAACTCCCTTTTAATTAAATTATATCAGTGTAGTAGGTTCATATGCACATTGGAAGTGTCACTCAAGAATGGCTGTAACATTTGGAACAGCCTGGGTTTTTTTTAACTTTAGGTTATCCCTCAAATTATAGAACTGTATCCTGTTTGATGTCACCTGTAAATAGTTCACAAGCAACTTTAACATGAGTGGTTTGTAGGGAATAAAGCTGAATTAGAAATGTAACAATAAAGATTTCAATACTGTTATACACAATATATTTTACAACTAAACTTTTGCAGTCTCTGGGCCTTATTCCTTAAATTTTTAAGATCTTAAATATATAATCTAGAGTTTGAGAAGTGAATTAAAATTGTAAAATATTTAATCTAGTAGATTGTAAGACACGTAGGCTTTTAGTAAATATTAACCTATTATCACTATTAATATTATACTAATATTTGAAGGATTAAATAATTTATAAGAGCCTTTCCAATTATACCAAGATTGTGTGGACTAGGAAGAAAGCTGTGGGGAGATGTTAGTATTGGCTCACGTCACCCACAAGTAATTTTTAATAACATTAAATTGTTTGCATTTTAATCCACATTTGTCAACAGGTGAGCTCTAAAGAGGTACATAGCATTAGGATGTTAGATACTATTATCCTCATCAAACTGTAAGTGGAAGATCCGAAGTCGCTATTCTAGTAAGGATGGTCTTGTGAAGAGAGTCATTGTGTAGTATATGATAAAAAGAAAAGGCTACTATATCCTGGATATCTCCCCTCAATGATTCTGTTAACCTAACATTTGTCTGTACAAAAATAAAGATGATAATTGTGTTTTCTCTCAGACTTGAAACCCACATGACCCCAGAAATGTTCCGAACACCTTTACATGAGATTGCTTTGAGCATCAAACTTCTTCGTCTGGGAGGAATTGGTCAGTTCCTGGCCAAGGCGATTGAACCTCCACCTTTGGATGCTGTGATTGAAGCAGAGCACACTCTCAGAGGTACTTTTATATACAACCCTACTTAACACAAATATTAGTTATACCATCTGCTTGTCCTGGCAAGGAGCACATGGCAAATTTAAGGCAAACTAATTGAGAGGGTTGTGATACTAAGGCTTCCAATGTTGCCTATGTACTTAGTATGATCGGTATG